AGTCGCACATGATGTGTTAGAGCTCGTAGAAGAAGTAAAGGCAGCAGATTTGCAGGAAGACAACCTGCAGAATCTGTTTGAACCTGAAATTTGGTATCCCGTCTTCTCAAATGACGCAGGTGACTGGATTTTCAGCTTTTGATGGATCGTCAAAAGTATTGAGCTTCCGATGGATGGTAGTTCATGAAAACATTTTCACCTTTTGATTGAACCAGAACTTTCCTAAACACCTTGACAATTTGGAATTGACTAGAAATGGAATTATTTGTATGGTAGTCAAAAAAAGACTTGTAAGTTTATATGCCTGTATCTCGTTCAGAATTTTCTTTCTGGTTGAGGAGATAGGTGAATTGCTTCCACGTGGTCCAATAGAGTTAACATGTCAGAAGTTTCTGTATCTGGTAGGTTGCTGTTGAAATGGAACTTCCAGGATGCTCTTCCCTTAGTTCTTGAAGTAAAGCTAGAAACTTGGTTGTATAAAAGACAAACTATACAGCCGAGGGAATAAAATTGCTATATCTTTTTATTTCAGCGTTTAGTCTATTACCTTGTTTAATTTGTTTTGTTGTCTTGATATATGTAGGATCTGTTTACCAGCAGATGTAATGTCAGTTAATACTAGCAGTTGTGTGTTTGAATTTGTTGAATAAGTGGTAATAAATAGGCAGCTCCCAGTCTTAAGGAAGCTGTTATCATCTCAAATTGCTGTAGTAAACAAGTCTGCGTATTATGGAATGAAAATGCAGATAATCATTCAATAATTTTTTGAGTACCTACTCAAAGAGATGGGTGGGTTTTCTTTTCAACATGCACGTAATTTTGTGTCCAAACAGGTAAAGGAAGGAGATCTAGAACAATTATCTGTACTTAAAAGATTTTGGTATAAGTAGACTCATAACGAGATCCCGGAGTATGTGGTTGTACATGTTCTTCCAATGAGTTCCTTGCATTTGGAATGTATTCTTGACAAGCTGGTTTTTCTACTGGCATCTTGAGCTTTTTTTTTTGGTCTGATTTCTTAGATGCTTCAACATACATATTATTTTCATTGCTTTTACTTTTCCCTATGAAGTTCTTCTTTATTTGTATGTAAATTGGTGTTACCCACCCCATTCCTTGAACTTATGATGGTGTTGTTAGACTGTATCTTACTATATGCATCATAAGTTTCTGGAGGTATGGTGTTATTAAATTTTATATTACGCATTTCTGGAGGTCTTCTGTTGATTTATGCATCATTTCTCAGATCATGTTTGCTGGATATTTCGAAACTTTTACCATTCATTGTGGTAGCTTTATGCACGCATGTTCTTAAGTAGTCTCTGTTTCCTTCTAAAAAGAAAATAAAAGAATATATTGTCTGTGTTATGACTTGCACCATCTTTCTTGTTCTTGAGAGGCAATTCTTACCTGTTACAGATATGCACATCTACTACCCAAGGATGATGAGGCATTCGAGCATTATAATGCATTTTCAGCCAAGCGACTTGATGAGGTATGCTTATTGTTGAGTATACTTCAACTTTTTAGCTTCAATCATATTCACGTATATGTTCTTTATTTGTCTATTTCCATTTTGTCAAATAGTTTTCTATTTCCCTCTTCCAAAGGGCTCAGAGTATGGATTTTGAACCTACTACCTTTTTTCTTGAGAAGAACAATAATTTCCACCTGTTCCTATGCCTGATGGCCTGTGCAAGTCCATGGGCATGGCCTGCAGTTTTGCGGGTTTTGGCCTTTGTATATTTACAGCATGTAGGCTGGGCTTTGAGAAATGATTTAGGGGGTGAAAAATATAGAACTGGTCTTGGATATTTAGGTATTAGCTCGGCCAAGCCTTGACAAATGTAAATAAAAAATTTAAAATACTATTCATATGTTTGTAATTATTTATTCATACATGTAAGATACTATATATGTAATTATATATCATATTAGTGGTAGACCAGTCCCTTCCTTCCCCCTCCCCCAGTTTCTTTTTGTCTCCAAGCAGTAAATACTCGTCATTTATATAAGTACATATAACCTGTTGTTTTCTTATATAAATAAAGTATGCATTATTTAAAAAAAAATATAAATAAAGTATGCATATATTATAACATATCATTTAATTTTATAGATATACAAATATTCTGTAGACACTTCTAACTAAAATTTTAAATAAAAAATTTAGTTTTTTAATTAAAAATTTTATTGTGTAATTTTTAGTTTGAATATACCAAGAAGAAGATATTTAATTTTTCTTTTTTGAAAAATAGTATGGGCATGTGGACTGGGCTTGGGAATTGATGATTCTATAGAGCTGGGCTTGGGCAAAATCTAGGTCCAAACAATTGGGTCGAGCTGGACAGGAGACTGATCGGCTTGTTCTCTTAGGATACCAGATTAGGTTTGACCCAAATCTGACCATGCTAGACTTAAATCTGGACCAGTCTGAATCTGAAACCAGCCTGGTTTGCTAACAGGTTTTACCAGATAGGCTTGGTGGTAGCATCCATGTTGTGGGAATTATATGCTGGTATAATTGTGCAGTTTGTTTGACAATAATCTTCTAGTCGGGATTTTTTGGCAGATTGTTGAATGTAGTTCCTTTAATTCAAAGCACGCTGACATGTTCCCTATTTCTGTTTTCTTTTTGAATCTCAATTCCTGCAGGCTAACAAAATTGGAAAAATAAATCTTGCTGCTACTGGGAAGGATCTTATGGAGGACGAGAAGCAAGGAGATGTCACAACAGATCTTTTTGCTGCTTTAGACATGGAACTGAGGCCGTTGCTGAAGATCTTCGGAGCTTGAAACAATCAACTTTGGGGTTGCTTATGGCTTTCTTTCCGTAATGACTGGTAAGTTTTATTTTACTTTCTTTATAATTGGCTATTAATTTGGTTTATGCATCTTTCTTAGGCACACACAATTCACACATTGTGTTATTTCTTTTTGTTATTTTGTTTTTTTCTTTGGTAGAAAAAGAAATATTATTAGGAAGAGGAAGAAAGTACGTAGGTGGAGAATAAGACATCCTCCTAGAAACTTCAAATAGAAGAACCAAAAAAATAAACCAAAAGAAAAAGTACAAATCCCACAGCATTACTGTGAGAATAAATAAGATAAGATACAATGACAGAGGATAAGACATCCTGGAGCTTTTTCATAGGGAAGCTCTAAAACAACATCAATTGCAAAGTAAGAAAACATCCCAGAGTCCGAGGATCAAGAGATTAGGCCGCCACCAACATTTATGTTCTTCACAATTAAAAAGATAGGCTTTTGGATGAGTGGATCTCTCTTTTTCTGGTTGGAATTTGTGACCATTCAGCCCAATCAAGACAAGCTGTAGTTCGGAAAATCATCAAAAGTGGCAGATGTTCTGTAAAAGTTTTCTACAACCACATGTTCTTGAAGCAGATACTGGTCTAATTCCCTTGGAAACAAGTTTAGAAGACCAAATAATTCGCTTGCATTTTTTTTTTGGTGGGAGGCAGTTGGGCGAGGGGTTTTAACTGTTGGATGACCTGGCAAGAAAAGATAGGATATTGATAAATGACTGCTTTTGTGTCTATATGGTGGGAAGCCTCGGATCATCTCTTGTTGTCACTCTTCGAGACTGAAAGGCTTTGGGATTCAACTGTTTCTCTTCTCAATCTCTCTTGGATGATATGTGGCTCTGTCAAGGACAAAATTTGGGCTTGGGATAGCGTTGTGGCTCCTGAGCCCAAAAAATAAAATTATCTCTGCCATCGTCCCTTTATCTATATTTTGGATTATTTGGAAAGAGAAAAATATGAGAGGTTTTGCAAATTCATCTTCACCATTATCAAGATTTGATCACTGGTTGAGAATTCTAAATGTTTTGATCAAAGGTAAACCCATTCAATATGTGATAGATATTTTTTGAAAATACAATATGAGATAGATATTGTTGGCTTACTGGATAATTTTTGATGTAGAATAGGAAGCTCCTAAAATGGACCTATTTCAACAACAAAAATATGTTGCAGAACTAATGAAAGAACATAAAGGTTTTAGAAGTGAACTAAAAGGAATAGGATGATTTAGTTTCCTTTTCCAAGCTTCAGAAAGTTTTACAAGAGAAGGAATAGGAAGATTTATTTTTGTAATTTCTTAGATTTCCTATTTTCCTAATTCTTTCTATGATTAATTTTCTTATTTACTAGATTTTTTAGATTTCTTATTTTTGATATACTTTGATGCCTATAAATAAGGTATTGTAGCTTAATTATTAAGTAGGCTATTGTCAAGAGCCGCCTCTGGAAGGGCAGAAAAAGAAATTCAAGTCACAAAGCGTAAAACAGTCAATTCACCCAAAAGGATTATGGTGAATCAACCCTAACCGTTACCTCCGCAGCTGCCACCTACACCATTACAGGAAAATTCCACATCCGCCACTCGCAATTGGAACAGCTGAGCAAATCCAGCCTTTCTTACCATTTGTCTTTTAACACTCGTAAGCCTATATGAAGGACCAATGTGTATAGTGAAAATTATCGAATCAAGATAAATTTTTTTTACCTCAAATCTCGCCCTTTTTTTTGTTTTTTCTTTTTTCTTTATCTCTTCTCTTTTCTCAGATTAAAAACCATGAGTAAGGCTTCTGATAAGGTGGTATTAGAGTCATTGGAGTTGGCCGAATCATGAGTCGGGGTTACTTCACGTACTTGGTCCAAGGGAAAAGCGTAGCTGTGGAAGAACAAGTGGAGCGGATGGTGAATGAGTTGGAGCACCGACTATTTGACCTTGTGGTCGAAGTTTGCAAGATTAAAAAAAAAACACAACAACAATTTGAGTACCTGGTGGAGATGATGCTTGGCGATGGGCCAGACTAGGATATGCCAAGCCTGACAGCTCAGGCAACAACCACCCCGATCGGAAAACAAAAGATTTTGCTGACCCCTTCTTGCACGAAGAAAAAAGCGGAAAATGGGGTTCAGAGGCTGAAAAGAACCTAAAACTGGTTTTCTTGGTTTAGGCTGTAAAATTAATGACCCTAATCGAATTGGCCCAAAGTGACCCGACCCAGATCGATGCGGTTCAGACCAATCAGGTTCATTTTCTTAATCAAGCTGGACTCCGACTTTCGTCATGAATCAGGCCGGTTCACTCCTCTTTGGTTGATTGCTCGGCCTTCCTAAGGTGGAAATTTTACTTCTCAATGGTTAATCACTGTGCCTGGATCCGGAGATGTGATAAATATTTTTTGGTGGCATGGAACACCGGAAGAACAAAAAGTGGAGGCGGCTTTGCTTTCCTAGGTGACGTAGTAGACGTTTGGTGCTAGAGATGGTTGGTGAAAGTGGAAGAGCTCGAATGAAATTTTTTCGTAGGGGGACTCTGACGAAGATTTGGGGGCGCCTCACAGAAAGATTTTAGAGAGGAATCTAACAAGCTGATGCATGTTGAAACCATCCTAGAATATCAAAGACGTTTTGAGTAGTGCGCGCATTAATAAATTCTGACAATTCATTTTTATTGCCAATTTATAAGCTATTTTCTTTCACTCATAAAACTATCTAATTTACTTTATTAATCCCAAAGATGAATAATGAAGATATTTATTCAATTTATTTAACTTATTTTTCTAGGACGAAAGGCATAGGGAAGTTTCAATGAATCACACATAGAGATATTGATAAAACACATAGAGTTAATGGTATTTCATAACTAATTGATTGAGCAGCAGCTTGCAGACCACCTAAAAAGATATTTATTATTTGATCCATATCCTGACATAAGAAGTTTCAATAGGAGCAATACTTAAGATCAATCCATAAAAAAATACCGATATTGAGATCTGCTAAAACAAGGTGATTGCTAAAAGGAATTATTGAACCACTCTTTTCAAAAGATTTTCTATTTCCAGTTTTATCAATATACTCAAATCAGAACTGCAGCCAATGGTAAGATGGCTTAACCCACGTTTGCTCAACTAAGTCTTTGAACAAGCCCTGCTCCAAGAACAATTTATGATAGAAATGTTTTGAAGTTCATATTTACAGGCAAAATTGTCCAAAATTTGGAAGGATATGGGGTAAGAAATTATGAACAACCTTCCTGAGTCATGGGAAAAGAGAGAGAATCTAGAAGGACATAGCTGTTGGCTACAAGTGTAGAGATAGGTATTTTCTAGGACACCATTGCTCAAGCAAAACGGTAATGATCTTGGAGGAGATTGTTACTGAAGAGACTAAAGAAGAAAAAGTTTACACATGTCAACCTTGAAGATACTGATGCTCAAGGGGGGCAGGCTGGTATGGTCAAGAGTCGTCTCTAGAGGACCAGAAAAGGAATTTCAACTCACAGAGGGTAAAACAGTCAATTGATCCAAATGGATTAGGATTAGGGTTGATTCATTTTGAGATAAAATTGATATTTTCTTCCTTTACTCGGCTGCACTTATTGTTTTAGATTCTGGAAACTTAGGTAACTTATATGTTTGAAAGATTTCATGAACTGAATTTTATACACATTCCTTTTATTTTTGAGAAGACACATTCATTGTTCTATTTAAGTGAAGGTTGTACAGTTTTCCTATTATAGAGTTTGTTGCCGAATTCATGGTAGGTCTTAAAATTTTATTCTTTTCAGGTACCATGCCCATATTTTGTTTAATCGACTCTCAGCTCTTAATCCTGTTGCACATGTTCAAATCTGTAATGGTTTATTTAGGTAAGTCTATCATATCCTATTCAATTGCTAGCATCTATTAGTTTTTGAAATTCAAACAGCTTATATGCCTTTCTTCATGTATTTTTGCTAGTCATATATACTCAATCTATGGTGAACAACCTTTTCATTTTATTTGGACTTTCTCATGCTTGGACAAATACATGCACTTGAGCATGAACAAAATGAGACCCGAACAAGAAGACACGCAAAGTTAATATGTTTGAAACATAGGACCTCAGACATGGAAAATTTCTTTGGAAAGTGCCAGCAATTCTTTTTCATATCTTTAGCTTTACATAGGGGAGCTGTGTCTTGATTTTCCTCTTCATTAATTGATGCATAATGGAAAAACTAGAGTGTCAAGAAATATGATGTAAAATCTTATTCACTCTTAGAAATATTTAGCTTAATTAAGAAATATTTACGAAATAAGGCTAAGAACTATTTATGAAATTTGTTCAGTTTCTATTCTAGTTTAGTAGTTTACTTCTATTGCAGATTGATTTCCTATTAAAATTTCCTATTTTGTTAGGTGTTTTACTTCCCTATTTTTATTGCATGGTTGGTGGATGTCCAATCGGTGCCTATATAAAGGGTAACTCTAGCATTGTGTGAAGTTAGACTTCTGTGATTATTATTCAATTAAAATGAGAATTTTAAGTTGGTTATTGAGATTTTAATATTTGATTTTAATATTTTTTAATTTTCCATTTTTCTTTTAAAATTCAGCCTACTTTCTATTTGTCCCTCTATTCTGATACTATCCACCTAAACAAAACTCACTCTTGGAAAATATCGTAGAAACACATAGAAAACCCTAGAGCCATCCAGTTCACTTGAATTTTGGCTACTGTCAAACCGTCTGGCTTACACTACTTGTACCATTGTGATTAGGTGCCATTGGTCGATTCAAAAACGAAATCTTGGCTGAAAGTTTTGTTGGAAATTGCCTTACTAATATTAGCTTGAGTCCTTGCACTGTTGTTGACTTGTTGGAGCAGCACCTTCTTGTTCATGTTGAAGTAAGTGGACCCTGATCCAGAAACCTTATTAGCCAGGCTACTTTTAGGGGAAAATCATCCTTTGACAGCTAGAGATTGAAGCTTGTAGACCCTCTTCTTTCTATTAATGAACTCATTTTATGGATCAATGCAAACATGAAATTTTCAGTTGAGGGTAGTGAATATAAAATACACTTTTCTAATGTCAGAAGCATTGTTTGTGGAGCAATTCTCAGGCATTTAATGCTGATTGGAAATTGGTCGCCTCCTGCATTAGTAGACCAACTAAAATAACTGCATCAGGTGTTCCATGTGATAATTAATATATAAAATAGGTTTTTCAACTATTATTTTTTCCATTTTAAAATCTAGCTGTCAATTCTAGCTAATCATAGAACAAGAGGACCTTAATTAATGAAACTTTTTGTTTCAAAATACACCTCAATTACAAAAAATGTTGCTACAGTTAGATTTTGGGAAGTGATGCTGGGTCTTTAATTCAATAACTGGTCGTAAATATATTCTAGAATTTTTTTAAGACTGTAGGAGATAGGGAGGTCATGATCAACATTTATGTGCTTTTATGCTTCTAAGTTGTTTTATGTTTGAAGGTTAATGGGTAAATTAGAGTCGGTGATAGTTGGGCAGGTGTAAATAGTGTTGGACTTGGTCCAATTTTGGTGTGGAAGATTGTCAAATTTCGCATCAGTTACCTTAGATTGCCTATTGATGGCAACATTGGCGACGTAAAGGCATGGGATCTTATCGTGACCAAGATGGAAAAATGGTTGGCTGGTTGGAAGAGGAGCTATTTACCCAAGGGGGCTGGATCTATCCTTTTTAAATTGCCTTATCTAATCCCCCAATTCCTTTTCTTCCTTTTTCCTGTTCCTGGTTTTGCCAAACGGATTAAGATCCAATGCTGGTTTATGTGGGGTGATATGGATGAGCCTAAGAAGTACCACTTGGTGGCTTAAAATATGTGAAGTGGCCTATGTAGGATTGGGTTTAGGTATAAGGTCCTTGCAAAGTTTTGATCAAGCGCTCTTGCTCAAATAGGAACAGAGTTGCTTCCCTTGAAACATTCTTTATGCTGGAAATGCATTAGATGAAATGTCTAGTGTGTTGGTTGGTGAGTGGTGACTCTAGTCCTTGCAGGTGGATCATATGAAATTTTCTAACCATATTCATTTCAAGGTGGCAATAAGTGGATTAAATATGGGATGGTCCTTGGTGTGGTGTCTATTCACTTAGTTTGCATGTTTAAGAAGGCAAGAGTTTCAATTTGTTTTGAGATGTATAATGGTGGAATCAATTGGAACATCCCTATCCTTAAGAATCTCATTGGTTAGGTCAGTTATTGGATTCTTTTCTTGCTTTGGAGGAGTTCACCTCTATATAGCCTAATTTTGGGGATGTTCTTATTTGAAGCTTTTGAAGGCTTTTTTACAGATCTCATTATAACCATTTGCTGGTTTCTGACAAGATTTTAGATTGTTGTCTTTGTAAAAAATTTTAGAAAATGAAAGTGGTCCCAAGAACTGCTTTTTCAGTTGGGAGGCAGCATGGATATGATTTTGACTCTTAACAATAACACAGAGCAGAATTATGGTAAAATGTGTTTTTTCTGCCACAAGGAAAGTGAATCCTAGTTCATCTTCTTCCTAAGTGCTCTGAAGGTAGGTTATTAGTGACTATATCAACATTCAAGCCAAGAAATAAAGTCTTCAACCTCATTTCCTATGCCATTTTTTGGGCCATTTGGAAAGAGAGATAACAGTAATGCTTTTCAAGGTATCTCTTTCCTCTTATTGTTGTTCGGGATCATTGGTTTAGGACACTAATATTTTACTTATAGGCAGCCCTGTTTGTGATGGGGTTGATTTTGTTAATCTTAGAAAAGGTCTCTTTGGGAGAGTTGCCCCTTGGTTTTCTTTTAATGCCATCACCTTTTTCTCTCTGCAAAAAGGTCTTGATGTCTCTCTAAGCTTCCTCTGTTCAATCTAGAGAATGTTAAAAAAATGAGCAACTTTTGTTTTTCTTGGAAGTTAGCAAAGAGAGTTCTTGATGTTGTGCTACTAAGCTTAAACCATATTTGATATGATAATAAGATATCTTTGTGCATAACCTTATATGCCCCAAGTTTTTGGAAATACAGTTGATTAGAGCATGTTAGTAAGCGGATTATGAATAAAGCAACTATGTCAAATAAAGAGAAAGTTTGAGAAAGTGAAGAAAAATAGAGCTTAGTTAAGAAGAATATACCATTTTTTGCGGCTCCTATATGGGGTCCTATGACCTTGAAGATGGAAAAGAAGTTGGCTTGCTAGAAGAGGAAGTTTCTATTAAAAGGTAGGAAATTACTTCTTATTGAAGGCATATTATAAGTTCTTTAATCTATATATATATCTTCGTCACTTTTGTTTATATGTTCCAAGTTGGCCAAGATCTTTAGGGTGCTTCAATATCAGTTCCTTTGGGGGGTTCAGAAGACTACTGCTGTTATCACTTAGTAGCGTGGAAGGTTAGTGAAACAACACCTTAGGGGGGGGCTCTTTTTTTGGTTGGGGGTGTATGGGTGTTTGTCTGGTATAGTGCTGACCATTAGATTCTTAGTTGAGATGAACAAATCCCTATTTGCAATCATTTTCAAGATTTATGATTTGCAAAATCGAGCTTTCAGGGGAGGTGGTTAGCTAAATCATTTTGGAGCTTTATGACTTGCAAAGGCCAGCGTTGAAGGGAGGTACTCCGGTCTAAATACAGGAGTGGGTTGCAGGGGTTGGAGGACTGAAGCAGGCAGACAAAAACGATTTGTGTGGAGATGTGTCAATAGAGATTGCAATCCCTTTATGATGTCTATGGAGCTTAAGTGGGCAATGAGCATGCTCTGGGTTTTGGATGGATATGTGGCATGATGGTCTGATACCTCTTAAAGTTGTCTTTAACTAGGGGTGAGAATGCAGTGGTCAGTGATCTGGCTGTCAGGGATGTTGTGGAAATGGATTTTCTGGCAGTATGGTTTGGAATTTGCAGACTAAAAATCTATTGATTGGGAGGTTCTTAGTACCTTGATTTGATGGCTGTTTTGATGGAAAGTTGAGTGGATATTTGTGGATACGTATATCCCAATCAACCATCTCTCTCAAGATGCAGTGACCTTTAGATTCCCATGTATGCAAGTCTCCAAGATCAATGCCCCTCCATGGATTGCTTGCGCGCGCGTGTGTATGTGTGTTGGAAGCTGCTTGGGGCAGAATTCTTATTTGGCTGCTTTGATGGAAAGCTGAGTGGATATTTCTGGATACGTATATCCCAATCAACCAGCTCTCTCAAGATGCAGTGACTTTTAGATTCCCATGTATGCAAGTCTCCAAGATCAATGCCCCTCCATGGATTGCTTGTGCGCGTGCGTGTGTATGTGTGTTGGAAGCTGCTTGGGGCAGAATTCTTATTTGGACAAGTTATGAAAAGGGGAAAGATTTCTTTTGAGACTTCTCAGCCACATCCTTCTTTGGTTCTCATACGCTAGAAAGTTGGGGTTTTGCATCCGGCCTCCTTAATCTGTCATATTTTGTAATTCAAGGAGGATACTTTGTGGCTGTTAATAATCGTACTTTTCCTCTCAAAAGAACAACGTTCCACCTCTGGGAGAGCATTCACTTTTCAAATAACATGGGTGAAACTTAAAAATTGATCGGGATATCATTTACTTAACCTTCTAGCTTAACTTCTTGCAAAATTCCTGTTTAGTTAGGTTTGTCTCCTGTTGACTGTGTGATTGGTGCCTATATAAAAGGGTATCTGTAGTATAACTCAATTTAGACTTAGAATTTTGTGTTGATTATTGAGATCCAGATCTTCTTGTATTTATTTCTTGTTTACTTTTTCTAAATTTTCTGTTCAAGCTCTACTTGCCTCCCATTGCTAATACAATACTATTTCTAAACATGTGCAGGCTTATTGAAAGGTCAATTGCATCAGCTTATGATATTGTTCATCAGATGCATTTTCAGACCTCTCCCTCTAGAACGAGTGTTGATGCCATGGATGCAAGTTTGTTAAGCAATAGGTGCTTTATAGATCTTCCCAAAGAACTCTTTCAGATGCTTGCTACTGCTGGACCATATCTCTGCCGGGATACATTATTGTTACAGAAGGTACAACTTATCTCTAGCCCACTAACAATTGGATTTGGAGTGTCTTCCAAATGTTGATACTGATTAGTTGTTGCTGATTTCTTTCTTGGGCAGGTTTGCAGAGTATTGAGAGGTTACTACATGTCAGCACTTGAGCTTCTTGGCAATATTGATGCTTCGAATCATGAACCTTTTAGTGGTGGAAATCGAAATCCTCGTCTGCACCTGAAGGAAGCCAGGACAAGGTTAGAGGAAGCTCTTGGAGCATGTCTACTTCCTTCGCTACAGTTGATACCTGCAAACCCAGCAGTGGGGCAGGAGATTTGGGAAGTGATGAATCTACTTCCGTATGAGGTTGGTGTTATTTAAATGTCTTTTTTGATACATCTGCTTGATAATTTGGAGATGGTATCTGATCTTGCTAGACAAATCTTTTTTTGCTTAGGTAAGGTATCGTCTTTATGGTGAATGGGAAAAAGATGATGAGCGAAATCCCATGTTATTGGCTGCAAGGCAAACAGCAAAAGTATGACTCTAATATCCTTTGACTGCCTTTCTCATCTGATATGAACTTGTTGCATTCAGAGCCTAAGCTGGCTATTTCGTGTTGTTTTACAGTTGGACACCAGAAGGATTTTGAAACGACTTGCAAAGGAAAATCTAAAGCAGCTGGGTCGGATGGTTGCGAAACTAGCTCATGCCAATCCAATGACTGTGCTTCGTACAATTGTTCATCAGGTATAATATTTATGAGATATGACCTTAAATTAAGTTAGCTCCTCAAAGCATTTTTTTTTAACCTCAGAATTAATTTTGGGATTTCTCATGTAGATTGAGGCATATAGGGACATGATAACTCCTGTTGTGGATGCATTCAAGTACTTGACACAGGTATTTTTTTCTTTTTTGTTGCTGCTTTGGAATTTTCCTGCTTTCTAACTTGTCCATGATTATTGTGGAGGTTGTGTTTGTTCTTGAAATATGTCAATACTTTTGTTCCCTCTGTAATGGTGCAGATAATCAAACATTTACCTAGTCTATTGTGATTTGAGAAATGCTTCACAACTTCAAAAGATGGCCTTCTTTTTTTCCTTTTTTCTGGTTTTAAAAAAGTATATTTTAGGGAAGCTTCTTGATATTTGCTGAATTTTTAAAGAATGTGTGTATGATATATCTAGACGGGGCTTCTTGTCTGTCTTGATGTGATTTAACTAGAAGAAGAACTGGAAAATTTTGTTGGGATTTTCTTGTTGTTTTATGCCATATTCTATCGATTTCATCCGAAACTTTCTTAGTGCAAATTCAATATTTCTGGCTAATTTTTCAAGCACCTGCATCTATGATTTTGCATTTTGAGGTAGGCTAAATTCATTCATCTGTATGCAGCTTGAGTATGACATTTTGGAATATGTCGTGATTGAGAGATTGGCACAAGGTGGGCGTGATAAGTTGAAAGATGATGGCCTTAATTTATCAGACTGGCTACAATCTTTGGCTTCATTTTGGGGTCACCTGTATGTATACTTTTCTTCTTTGAAACCTCGTCGATTATTGCCTTCTGCTTATCCGGTTACTCATATTAAGTTTCTGTTGTTATTTCTTTCTTCTTCTTGTCATGTTTTTCTTTTCTTTTTGTGTCTCATGATAGATTTCCTTGCATCTGTAATGTGTTATGTCTTTGCTTCCTAAACTAATTTTCTTTTTATCTTTTTTTTTTTCTTTTATCCTGGGTTGCTGGTGGTGCCACGTTTTCTGAAGTACAATGCCTGTTTAATATTTGCCCTTTCTTTTTTGCTTTCTAATATCATCAATTAAATATCTGGAAGTTGAACGAATAAGTGTTTTTATGAGACTGTCAGCACACTAATTCCATTGTATGTAGAGTTTAGATTTATGTTGGGGTGCTTTGCTTCAGTTACTGGAATGGAGATTGAATTCAGCAGAAGCAGGATGATAGGAGCTGGGGACATTTTGGGTGTTGCTGACTTTATTAATCTGCTATTTGCAAGGCAGATAAATCCCAACATCTGGGTCTGGTAATCAGACAGGTGCTGGTCAGTGAAGTTTAGGGGATCTTGTGACAGAGGGTTGATGAAGTGTTGTCAGATTGGAGAGTGATGCCTATTGAGTGGGAGGGCCCATAAGTTATACATTGTTTTGTTTATCCAATTCGATATTCTGGAGGTTAGAAGGAACTCTATGTACCAAAGAAGATACAGGGCATATACAGGCAGAAGTTATTTAGGATGGAAGGATGAAATTGTCCTCTAGTGGCTCAAGAAAGATAAGTGTCATTTAATGGAGTTTTTAAGCTGAAGGCAGGAACATTGGAAAGTGTTACTGTTGAAATGTCAAAGAACTCAATTTATTTGCAAGCTGGAAACTGATTGTTTTGACTGGTTTTCCGGAGAGTTATATGGGATACTACCCAAAATTGTTGTGTACAGTCTTCGTAAAGGAAAGAAAGAGTTCCAAGTGTAGAACTGGATTGGATTTAGTTGGTGAAGCAAAGTTTTATGTTCTTGAATTTTCCATTGGTTAAGGCTCTGTTCTTGACTGCGAAGCTACATGATTTAATGATTAAACTGTAATTGAAATTTAGGAATCATCTTCCTTACTTGCTGTTGTCAAGAAGAGCTTAAATTTAGGTGGGGAATTGAAATTAGAAGGCAGTTGGTTTTTTCAACTAACAAGTTTTAGACAGCATTCTTTTCTCCTTGGTGCTTCTTCCAGCTAGTGATGCTTGCATATTGTCATTTGCTGCTGGAAAATACCAGGAATTTTGCATTGTCCTCCAATTTGAAGTTTGATTTCTAATGAATGCTATTAGTGATTCTGAAGAAAAAGATTATTCCCGGGGAGAATCTATTCCATCAGAGGAGGTGCAGTTGGCTGCACACCACCTTAGCTGGTTTTGATGATGGGTCGGGCTAGTTCAGGGGGTATGGATCTTCATGCTTGTGCAATGCAATGCACAGCTGATATACTCCTACAAATGTAAAAAAGATACTTAGTCAGGTACATCACCTCAGGATGTGAGATATAAAATACTGGATGTTGCAACTTTTGAAGATGGAGATGATAATAGAAGCTTGATATTGCCACTGCATCTATTGACTTCCATTTTTTCAAAGCTCAGGGTTGGTCAGTTATGCAATGAATGGGAAGGTCATTTTATTGGAGAGAAGTTTTGGCTTGCTTTGCTCTCTGCATCTCTCTATCTGTGTGTCTCTACCTCTGTCTCGTCTCAATCTCTTTCTCTCTCTGATAACTACCCCATGTTGACGACAAGACCAATTTTCAGTCAAAGTGCGAAATATTTACATTGTCAGTCAGATATTCCTGATGTTAGCATTATACTTTTGGTCAGGTAACTGTTTGTCTTGCATGTTTTTGATATGAGCTTTTAATGTTTTAATCTGACTATTGGGATTTAATTGGTATTGTTGCTTCAGCATTCTGGGAGATTGCATTGTGATATGCATAATTTTTATTTCTAAAGTAATTATTGATGCTATGAATCTGGGACATTGAATATAATTCTGTTGGCAGGATTATCACAACAACTCAAAAGTGACCAAGGGCAAGTTTCTTTTTTTTGATGCTTGTTTATTGATTGGGACCAAAAATTTGGATTTGTTACTAGATATTTGGAAGATTTATACCAATTGACTTGTGTACAAGTGTTTAAACATGTGATGCTTCTGCAGTGTTGTAGTCATCATTGTTATCATTGTCATCATAACCTTTACCGTTTTCTTTTAGATCTTTAAAATATAAAAATATCTATTTTAAAAAACTATCTCTGCATACTTCTTTTCTTTAAGAATAAAAAGAGAAATATATTCTCATCTACTTGTCTTTCGCATGTTGATCCTTTAGTTTTGAGAATATTTTGTGTTTATGGAGCCTTTTCGGTGGTGTTGTAGCTGGCTTTACCACCAGAAGACTGATATCTTTTTCGATTCTAATTAATTTTAATCCCTAATGCTGTGATTATCTCATTCTTCTGTCCACTCATTTTGATATTGCTTATGACAAGTAGTGTCACCGATTCACCCATTTTGATATTTTGTGGTAATTCTATTTTCCCCTTGTTCTTCTTTTCCCTATTTTGGGTGGGTGGGGGGAAGGGTTGGACATGCGCCTTGCTTACACATCATTGGTGAAAAAACTAGAGCGTTCTGTGGTGGGCTAGACATTTGAGAGTCAAGAAATTTCAGCGTCACTGGGTGACTGTGTTAAGATGAGGATGAAGAGGGATTTTGCGTCTGATATGGTCTCTGTTTATTAATGGTGTGGGACAAGAAATTAAGATGTCATTGGGGAAGTGGTGGAGGTTTCGTTATGAAAAGGAAGGTTTTGGAGCTAGATTATATTGTCAAAATGTCTGCTGTTGTTTTGTCAGTGCATGCCATAGTGTAAGTCAGGATTTATAGCTAATGATCATCATAGTGCTGGAAGAATAATGTCATTATGCATCCACCTCAAATGGGGAAGAAGGTTTTCATAGCAAATATTATGAGAATTATTGGTTGGCAGGCCGTTGAAACTTTTGAACCTAACAAATCACTATGTTTCTAATTCTATAGTTTTTTTTTTATAATTTGGTGCCTCTTTGAATGTTTTTACTTCAAATATGCAAGGTCAATTTCCCAACATCTTTTCCAGTGCTTGTTGGGTCTCCAAAGTCCTCTTTCCCCAAACAAGTAAAATAATGAGCATTGGAAGAGACAAGTCTCGTTCTTTTAGCACTGATGTTAGCAGAAGGAAACTCTGGAAGAGATTGAGCAAATAAATGTTCATGATCTAATTTAGTTTATTTTTCCATTCCTGAAAACCAATTTCTTAACCCTAACTATTTGGAAATTTTTGGTGGTTCGCTAGATGAAAATGTGAATATCTTGATGCAATTTCTTAACCCTATTCAGTGAAGCAACTATGTTGATTACGTTAAATTGATTAGTATCTTATCTGCTGATTGTTGGGATAGAATTAAAATTAATTTACTGGTGCTTGGTTAATGCTTTCTCCATGGTTAGTTCTTAAAAACAAAAATAATTTATTGTTAAAAAGATGTGGTCGTTCTGTTATTAGTTCATGAGAAACTAAGAAAGGTTTTCTCATTTTTTTTCTTATATCATAAAAAATCCATATTCCTTTCCTTAACAAGCTGATACAGGTTATCTTCATAGGCAAGATCCATTATTAAAATGAGCTTTTAACTTTTACAAAAACATACCCCCTTTCTAATCTCTCTTTCTATCTCTCTAAGAAAAGAAAGAAGAAAATAATTCATGCCACATTTCTCAATTCTTCTGTTTTTGTAGGTGTAAGAAGTATCCATCAATGGAATTAAGGGGTCTTTTCCAGTACCTTGTGAACAATTTGAAAAAGGGGCAAGGCATTGAGCTTGTTCTCCTGCAGGTATTGTTAAAATCTTAAGGTTAGACCATCAAGGACAACAAATTAGGGCCAAGCTAGGCTGTTAAGAACTAATGTTTTTCGATTTAAATCAGGAGCTGATTCAACAAATGGCAAATGTTCAGTACACGGAGAACCTTACAGAGGAACAGTTGGATGCCATGGCAGGGGGTGAGACGCTCCGATATCAGGCCACTTCATTTGGTGTAACTCGAAATAACAAGGTTAAAGCTTAAAATAACCAAACTTTCATCTAAGCTTCTGTTGGTTGATCTCCTAAGCCATTTGGATTTAAGTTAGTTTTTTCCTCAGTTATACCCTGCCATCACCTGAGGGTTTTTTTAAGGAAATAATTGTTATCAGCTTGTGAAAATATTAATTTAGATTGCAGACCTGTTCGTCTAACCTTCAGTATTCTTGGATTTTGCAAGTTGTTGTACTAAGGGGGTTCTACCAAATATAGAGATTTCATTACAAATAATTAATAAGAAACTAGCATCAGTTTGTCTCAGTTCACTCTTTCAGGTGTTGCAATGTAGTTTCTGATGCAATGACTACTCTTTGCTTAGTGAGCACTTTACGTATCCTGTCCTGAAAATGAGGCCTGTGCATTTGGTCTTATCTAATGCATATGGTGTGAGATTTTACTGATTTCCAGTCCATGTGAAACATTGTTAAAAAGTCATCTGATGACATCTCTGATGTGTAAGTGCTAAAATAACAAATTTCTCTATCTGTTATATGTGGTCTTCCCAGCATCTGAAATATATGAAGTCTCTGGGTTGGTATCCTTGGTTAGTTTTAATTAGTTAAACTACTTTTTCTGACATCAAAATTGTTGAAAATATTGAGCTATGTATGGTTCGGAACTAGAACAGAAGCATTAGCCACAAAATTTATGCCTTAAGCCACACGCTAAATACCAAATTATTTTTATTAGTTTTATTCTTATCTAAAATTGTGTTCATATTGTACTATCTGTGCAGGCATTGATCAAATCCACCAACAGGCTAAGAGATTCATTGCTTCCAAAAGATGAGCCAAAATTGGCAATACCACTTTTGTTACTTATAGCTCAATATCGCTCTCTGTAAGCTTGAGCATCACTTTTCCTACTTCTTGGGAGGCTAACAATTATATGTAAAGATGACTCTTTATTGGGTATTGGGGTATGAACAGAATAAGACATGCATGACATGGACTCTTGTATCTTTTTTATATAAAAACAGTTGCATGGTTAACTGGCATATCACGTATACCTGCAGGTATCCTATTCTTCATTTCTCTGCATATACATGTCTCCAATTATTTGTGTACATATCCTGGTGCAACTTTCATAACTTAGACATGGCTTGTATGGGTTGGAAATGCAGGACCCTTTACCAAAGTAATAATGTATATTATTTTTGGTGTGGTCTTAATGACAAAGAATTGTCTGATTAGTCCTTTTCAGACTGTTTTATAACAATCACTATCTAGGTTTACAAGCAAAATATTATTTTCATATTCTCGGGACAAATAGTTGTAAAAATTAGATCAAGCAAGTTTTACATTTGAGCATTTGTTATATCAATGCTCCTTTTGTTGGCTACCTCTTTGGCAATAAGTTTATCCTGTGCAACTTACTTTCTCAAAGGTGGTTCCAGTTCATGTTCTCTTCTCTCTTTCACAATGACATCTGGGAAAACGGGTGCAATAAATTGTCATGAAATGTTCATCTATTGTTGGAGAAGCTACTTATTCATTTTGTTTTCTGTAGGGTTGTAATAAATGCAGATGCACCTTACATTAAAATGGTCAGTGAGCAGTTTGACAGATGCCATGGAACTCTTCTTCAGTACGTAGAGTTTCTTTCTAGCGCGATGACACCGGCTGTTGCTTATGCTCAGCTGATTCCTTCACTTGATGATCTTGTTCATTTGTACCACTTGATCTGAGGTATGTCCTCGGAGCTATCCATGCAATGGATCCATCTCTTTTTCTGCCATGTGTCAGGATCTTAGATCTTTATTTGAGTAATTAGAGAAAAAGAAAGGATTTAAAGTAAGAAGCAGAACTTTGCTGTAGAGAAGAAAGTCTAATTTTATTTGAATTTTCTTGGATGCCAAAACAATTACAAAATACAGCTTTTATAGCTAATGTTATTACACTAATCAATTTATTCAAAACTAATCTAATCAATTTATTCAAAACTAATCTTATGCTAATTTTTAATGACCAAAACAATCAAGTAATCAATTCTAACAAGCTCTAACAATTATTTTTTGTACTATTATACTCTGTGTGAAAGCATCCTTGTTCTCGAGGATGTTCATTAGCCTGCACATGGAACTCAAATCTGTTAAAGAAAGTATATTATATGTAAATTAGGGTTGCAGAGTATTAAGGTAAAGTACATTCTATATAATCGATTGCTTAATTCTTTTTTATATTTTAGGAAACTTATATATATAGGGTTATATTCAATAGAATGCACATTCGGCCATTCTTGGTATCAAAGATATAGGAAAAAACCCTAGTTTTTCCTCATAAAGTGTAGTTACTCTTTATTTCCCAAATAAAACACGAAATCCTAAGGGGCTAGACTTTGTTGCCGGTCACCACCATGACCCCGCCAGCTCCAAGATTGGCCTTCATCGCTGGCGCCATCCAATTGTGCCTCCAGTCGTGCTCATCTCTCTCCAGCCATGCATCCAGCATCTTTTTGCACGCTGTCCAGCCAGCTTTGTCGCTACTCTTGGCCAGGGCACCACCCACCAACATCTGTCTGCGCGCAGGTCACACCTCACCACGTCTCTTCCACACGGCCAGACCTGCATCACACGCGGACAAACGCCACCAATCCCTGCAACACATGCCACTAGTTGTTGTCACCTGCATCTACGACCACCAGCTGTGCCACCAGCCACTAATATGCCTCCCTGCTGCAACAGCCACAATAATAGCTGGGAAACAGCCGACCATCAACATGCAATTGCCCTCTACTGCACCAACCCTAAACAATGCTTCTGGCCATGCGTTTGGTCCCTCCACCCATGCCTCTACTTAGCAACACCATCAATCTAGTTGCACATATGCCCATCTGTGTGCAACAAACAATTGTGCAGCCTCCACAAGCTACATCTTCCTGTTGAATACAATCCAAAAGCTCAACCAATTTCTCACACACATAGTCATTTGCTGCGGACAATTTAGAGTTTCATCGTAATAGTTTTGGTCTGTTTAATCGATCTCGATTGCCTCATAATATTCAGGTCATATCAGAAGTTTTATCTTAAGTTACTGATGCAAAACCCATTGTGGCTAATTCAGAAAAACCCATAGGTACAAGTTTGGTGACATGCTCAAGTATATGTTCTTTCTCACATAGTTTAAAAGCCTCAGATAAATTCTTTGAAAGGTTATGGATTATTAATTATGAGGCCATTAACTGTATGACCAACTCTTCAAAATACTTCAAACATATGTTCCTTGTGGTAGGATAAGTATTACTGCTAATGGGTTGCTAAACACCATTGTAGGAATTGGCAACATTAAGCGAAGTCCTACCTTGGTTTTAGAGAATGTGTTGCATGTTCTTAAACTTTCTAGTAATCTTGTGTCAGTCACTAACTTATCAAAGGATTTGAATTGCAAAGGAATCTCCTTCCCTTCTCATTGTGACTGTCAGGACCAGGAAAATAATTGGACATATTGAAGTCAGAAATGGGTTGTATTTCGTGGACATGCCTGTGTTATCTCTCTTTGTCACTACTTCATACTCTATCGACAAGCTTTGGGTTTTACCATAAAAGATTTGGATACCTATCTTTCTCAATCTTGAATGTTATGTTTCCTTCTTTAATTAAAAATTTTGTCAAAGAAAATTTCTGTTTAGGCTTGGTGGGTTAATGAAAAATCAGGGCTATCTAGGCCGAACTTGTTCAGACCCAATGGTGAGGGTAGACACACGTGAAGAGAAAGGTAAATGGGTGGTGGACTCGGATGGTTTTAGAAGCAGACTGAATGGAAGAGGCTCATTTAGGAAATATGATTGGAGGCCTGTTGGGAGTATTCCTATTGATGGTGAGCCTTCGGGTGTGAAAGTGGTTAGCTGCTCTCCACCTAAGTGTGGTCCAGAAGAGAGGAAATATTGATGTGAGGGTGTTGGCCAAGGAGGATGCAGAGAGAGAAGAGGATAGTACAAACGGGGAGGAATTGATTCCTGCTGGAATGTTCGATGAAAATGCAACTGAGACGAGAGGTGACCTTTACGGAGGAGAGAAGGAAGCGGAAGCAAATGGGTATACAGAAAGTGAGGCAGGCGAGGTTTTCTCTACTGTTAGCTCCCAGATTTTGGTTCAGATTGAGGAGGACGTCCAAGCTTTAGATGCGGTGATCTTAACTGAGCAGGGAGAGTAGGTTTTATTCCATATCCAGGGAGAAGAAGTGGACTGTGATGTGGATGATGAATGTACTGTGTGGGTTCTACAAAATATTCAAAAACTTAGCAAGATGATGGGAGTTTCCCTAGATGGAATGGAAGATCAAGTACTCTTTTTCTTTACTGAAATTTACAGAAGGGGAATGACGAAGAAAAGGAAGGGAGAGAGTGTCCCTAAAGGAAGGAAATCTGGTGGATCGGGTATGTCGAGAGAACTGAAAGGACTGGAGTTGTCGATCGACTATGAGGGAAGGAAGAAATTGAAGGAAGGAGGGGGAGATAGGCAGATGAATACTGTGTAATGATAAACGAGATTATTTCGTGGAATGTGAGAGGGATTAATGACCGGAATAAGAGGACTGTCATCAAGGGATGCCTGGGGAGATGGAAGGCGGATCTTGTGTGCCTTCAGGAATCCAAAGTGGATGAATG